GTTTGATGGCACTGACGAGGTTACCTCGACACCACTACAGGCGAAGATCCGACTTCCAGAAGGTTTCTTGAAACGAAATTAGCCATGGATCAGAGCTAAAATAAGGACATGGTCAAACACCGGTGACGGTTGTGGTGGGTAAAGGGAGGATGGTGGTGTTGGGGTTAAAGGATGTCCCGATATTTGTTTCTTCGTGAAGCCCTCTGAATGACAGCCACTTGGCTATACGGAAGGGACTGTACTTGGGCCGTCCGTCGTCGCAAACATTCGGAGAGCCAAGCAGCGGGAAACGATGCTGAACTGGACGGCCACCTGGAGCGACGGCAATACGGAATAGTGCCTATACAGTCCCCCAGGGCGCATAGACAACTGCGAGACTGGCAGTGACAGCACAGACATAGAAGGATCCAGCAATTGCCTGGGGGTGTGGGACTGAAGGATTGTTGACAATGCGATAAAGGCATGGTGGGCTAAGACTGCGACCGTGGTTGGCATGCTTTTTGGTTGTTTTGCCGCCCTCGCAACAAGCAACCGATGCTTATACAGCGCCGCTCGTGCCAGACTCGGACCAAAAATTCCTATCATTGGCATTGACCGGGACTATTCCCAGTTGTGTTGACCAGGGCACGGATCAGAAACCGCCGTGATAGGGAACCAGAGGTGGACGGCACCGTGGCACCAAATCTCTCTCTTCATGGAAAACTGGGTTCCGAAGGCAGCCATTGCGCCGTGAGACTGGTCTCTGAAAGACGGATCCAATGACAAAATGGATCTCTGCTTTTTCTGATGACTTGTGCGACCTCAAACTCTGGGCGTATTGAGCCGTGTGAGGGCACAAGTATAATTGCAGAGCTGACGGACGAGTCTTGTGTCGTTGTCGATGGAAATGATGTTGTTGAGGTTAGAGTTGTGCTGCACCCCACAAAAAGAGTTCAGGTGAACCACTGTACATGCGGTTTTACGTACCTGTCCAACAGCAGGGCAGGGCTACCGTAGCTCGCGTAGGTCCCTAAAACGATGCACGAAAAGTGGAAACACGGGAGCCCCACGGGGGTCCCCCCAACTTCGGACAGCCTGGTTGACAACACCTGCAGTTAGCTCCAACCCCATCCCCGGCTCGTCCGGTCGCGCTGAATGCTATTACCAGATTGATGCACAACTGAGTCGACTTCCTCCTGCCAACTTCTCTTTCGCATCCAGTCGCGCGCCACTTGCCAGTCCACACTTCATCCTGTTTATCTTTCTGGTCATTCATGTCATTCATGTCATTCATGCGCTGCAAATCCACGACTGATGCGTCTTGCGCGACTCCAGCGATCAACCAATGCCAACCAGACCCCGCCGTGCTCCCCCAGCTGTGGTGCCAACTGTCCGATTCAGATTACTGTCTCGTCTTTTTTGCGCCTCTGCTTCTTCTAAACTGAAGCTTCTGTTACGCACAAGCTGTTTTAGTGAGTCTGGCCGGGGTTCTTGCCCCGGGACCGGGACCGTGCTGTCAGGATCCAAGATGAATCAATCCATGATGGGCTCAACCAGGGACGGCCTGTTCGGCCGGTGAATATCGACATCCCTTTCCTGATGCTGGTACCGTACATTATATACATCTACCTACCTGTACCTTACCTACCCTTGGCTTGTCACTGCGCGGCCAGCATTCCTTTCAGCCTGCCACTGACTGAGCTCGCCATCGATCTCATCGCCCATCGGTCAAGCACCAAAGCTGGGTAGGTATTCATTCACCTTGTGCATGCCACCACCAGTTTCTATCTACCATTCATTCATGGACATTGTCCCGCAGGGAGGAGTGTTCAAAGTGCCCGAAAAGGCCCGTATCAAGGTGGACCAGCATGGTTTGCTTTTTCCCCATGTCAACTCCCGTGCACGTCTCTTGGACCGGTCCGTTTCGTCCATTTGCCGTTGAAGAACCTTTGTTATTGCGGCCATTCATGCCGCCCCAGCTAATAAGAGATAAGACACATTTCGGATGTCAGAGTGCCAAATTGTTTGTGGTGACTTCCTAACAAGTAACCCTCCCGTCCTTCCCCAGATTTGCTCTCCCCCAGACCCCAGTCCAGTCCAGTCCCCACTGCCCTACCTGACCGTTCCCGTCTCTCCTTCCCTCCATCCATCAAACCTGCCATCTCCCCAACGGCAAGTTCCACACCCTGCTCTGGCCCGGACCCGAACTGGTCCATAAAAGAATTTTGTTGGTCTCAACTTTCTCCCTTCGAACTTCCCCTCTCTCCCCATTCACGGCACCGACCACTTGGAAAGACCACATCGTTTGCTTGTCGGACTCTCCGTACTACAATCATCATAAAACAAGCCACGAATCTCGCCCAACTCGACAATCTCGGACCAGACTACCGCCATCAGACACAGGCCACACTAGACTCGTCTCGACTTTTCGTCTATCCTCGACTTGTTCAGTTATTTAAACCCGGCTTGCGCTCCATCACCTTGCCGTTCTCGAGACATATCTTGCCAGACACCCTCAGCATAACCAAAACTTCTACAAGTACAAAGCTTGAGCGTTAGCGTAAGCTTCCCTTTGACTGCCTCTTTCACCCAGATCACTTGCTAACTCCGGTCAGACTTCTTTCACAATGCCTTCCCAAATCGCACAGCCTACACCCATCTCGGTTCCTCGCCCGAACCTCGGCGTCATGACCTCGCAAGACCTTTTCGCCAGTGTCAACGCTTCCTTCAGCAAGAACAGCCAGCCGTCAACACCCAGTCACACCATCCAAGAGCATGACTACTCGGTGCCAGCTCCTCCTCCTCCAAGCCCCGTTAGCTTCCGGGATCACCATTGGCCATCAACCGTTCGCCGTTAAGTCAGTTCCGGCTGTTCTTTTCTTGGTTCGCCGGTCGAGCACCAGAGCTTGTCTCCTTGTAAGGGAGGCCGCATAAGCCATAATCAGGCGGCTCTTGTACACATACATTGTATCACTTTATCACCGTCTTCGTCGCACCAGCAAGCAAGCATTCTTATTTCGTCAAGATCGAAAGCTTCTCAGCGAGAGAACCTTTGTTGTCTTTTTCTTTTTTTCCTCGGTACATGGGCAACACAAAAATCACTTGGAGTCACGGCGGGGAAGTAATGGAGTAATGGGAATGGGCGCGCATAAAAATGGTTGGGGAAAGGCCTTGGTCGTCTTTGGTTCTTCGGTTACGAAACATCCTTATTACATCACACACAAAAACTCTCGCGAGGATAATAGTCCTTCATGGCGGACAAATACAAGCTGTGCTTTAGTCTAATGCTACAAAACGTACCTCAGGTCGACTTCTTCAGCCCAATACGACTCCCTGTGACATGATGCTTTGGTTTCTCAGGCAACGAAGATTAACCCGTCACTCAGATATGACGCCAGAACCATAGGGTGATCGTCTTTTCTGTTCTCTTCGGTCCTCAGCAAAAGCTCTGCAATGCTGCATCAGAACTGACTGATCGTTTCCACAGTTGTCGTCACTAACAACATTATTGGACAGCTAAGACCAACTACATCAGCATGCCCCCAATGACATACCAAAGAGCTCATGTCTCGGTTCTCAGTCGTCTAGACCAAGGACCATTTATCACAAAACCAATATCTCTGCGTCTGGCGATTGGCCTTGTGTTATCAGCACTAATAACGACTAACCATACATGTTCTATCAACTCCATCTCGCTTTGTTTTTGGGTTGCAAAACAAGGGTCCACCACTGTCATCATCACAAACATCGTCTCCAAAAACGATTGGTCTGTTGCTATAAACATTAGAAAAACCACAAACTTTAGTTTCCACCCGCTGAACAAAAGCAAATAATCAGAAACATCCAAACTGCCGAACAGCCTCACTTCCCGCTTCACCAAGCAGATCGATTCGCGATTCGCGTACTTTACGCAATCTTGCTCACAATACGAGCACATGTGGACCTTGCTCTCGGAGAAATCAGGAAAGTCTCGAAACAAGCAGATAGAGCAGATCAGTTCGAGACCTGTCGTCTAATCGTCCACTTGTTCGCTACATTTTCCAAATATAGCTATGGATCCCCCGAACGGCCCGGTCGGTACGTTAATAAGTGTAGGCGGTGGATTCCAATGGGTGGCAAATAAATCCGGGGATCCAATGTTGTTTGGGCCGTCGTCGTTACCTTAGGTAACAACCCCCACAAAGCTAAGCTGCCCAGGCGCCGCCCTAAAAGGGGACCCAGGTGGTCCCCTAAAAATCCACTTTCTGCAGCTGTCAACACATGCACTCCACGTTCATGTCAGGGCATGTACTGCTACGCTACTGCAACCCCCCCCTGGGATGGGACGGAGACCGCGGGAGCTGGACGCCGGGCCCGGCGGTGCACTTCCAAACTTACTCCACTTCGGCCTTTCTTCCACGGATATTATACGGGTCTCCGGGTGTGTCGTCTGGACTTCCGTGAGCCAACCAGTTCGGATGGCCGACGGACGGACGAACTCCGAACGGAAGGGCTTGCGGGGATGGGACCTCGAGATAATTCTCGGTAAGACGAGAACGAACGGACGGACGGGATGGGATCCGCGCGTCCGTAGTATGGATTGGTGATGGAGGAAGTGAAACTGGGGTTGGTTTTGGACATAACGTTATACATCACAAGCTTCGGTCATAGGAGAGATCTGTGATAATGATGATGATGATGATGATGATGATGATGACGGGATATACAACTGGGAAAACATGCCTCTACCTAGAGGTAGCTGACTTAATGGGATATCCAACCCGAGTATGACCATATAAGGTACAGACATGTCAGTCCAGGCCTCTTCTTCTCTTTGTTCGTGATCCAATCGGCCCTGACATGTGTCTAGGACAGTCATTAGGGAAGTAGGTCTCTTTGCCTCAACCGCCACCTTACTTTACCATAGTTGGTGATGGTGACACAACGCAAAAGAAGGCACAGGTTCAACCTCCAACGTCAACTCTGATTCAAAGACATGAGGGAGGGAGCAAAACATCCGGACAAGACAAGGCACGCCTCCAGATCTCAGGACTGGATAACCTCCCACGAAACCAAAAGAAGAAGAAAAGCCACAACAATATCCATGAAAATTCCAGAAGCCTGCCACTTCACTTCTACGCCCACAAGCAGATACCTCTAGTCATCATGCGCCTCTATCTCGATCTGTAGGTTGCAACAATATCATTGAAGCCATTCAACCCGTTTAGCCCTCCACTTTAGGTACCTACCTACTTACTTTATCCTGCTTACTCCGGCGTCGCTTCTGAAAAGATGGTACCAATAGGTATAGAAGCGTCATTTACATGACCTTGAACAAGGCATGTCGTGTAACTTCTTTATTCTACAGTACCCCATGGCACGATGGTATCACAAACTCAGGCACCAACCGCGCACCAATATGAACCGGACGTGTGCTCTCACCTTGAAACACTTTATTACCTACCTACCGGCGCCATACAGGCATACAGGCTCTCTCAGCCGTCGGTCGACACGTCGTCAACCAACACGAGAAACAAAAGTGATTCAAATTCAAGAAAAGATGTGTGTGTGTACCACTACTGTATGGTAGAAGTTGCAAGCCGAGAGGGAGGGAAACCCAAAAGTGAACTTGGGGTACACATCAGTGGTTAGAATGGTCAGAGTCAGGGTAAGTCCTGGGAACTGGAGCTGTACCCGACCCGACCAACGCAAGTCACTCACTGTTTTGGAGTTGAATATGTATTGGAGAGAAGTCGGTGTTGGTGTTACACGGCGGCGATGGAAGAAGGGCTTTGGAAGGGGTATGGAAGCGTTGAGGGAGCTTGGTCAAAGTGGAATGGACATCTATCAGGCATTTCGATATCCCCTTTCGAGATGAACTGGCTTGAGTCTTGAGAGGACTGGTTTTCTGGTAGAGATACCTGCATAAGGTTTAAGAAAGCTAAGCTGGCGTTACACAGTGGGATCGAAAGGGTATGGAAAATGTATGGAAGCATTGAAGAACATAACTAGAAGCATGGGGTGTTATTTCGCGGACACTCCTTCGTATATCTCGTCGTGGGATACGTTGGTTTGAGCGGGTCATTTGCCCGGTACTTGCATTAACAACTTGTGGGACATGGCAAGCTCAATGTCTGGCCGATGGTCATGGTAAGAGTGGTAGGCATCAGAGAAGAACACCGGAGGTAACTCGGATCTAAGAATTTCTGATGTCCTACTTGAACTTCGTTACCTTTGGTTCGCTTACTTTTGAGTTGGACCGCTTGACCATATGTCCCATTGGGAGGTGTCGAAAGATGGGGTGAAAGAGTTAGTATATAAACTTGTGGACTAGGAGCTGGTGGGAGCCTGGCGGTAGGTTGCCGGGCGGCCGGGCATTGGAGTATGTGTAGAAAGGAAGGAGCAGAAACAATGGTAACCGGCTTAAAGTCTCATGTCTCTGTCTCGCTGTAAACACTCGTCTTTGACAGAAAGTTGAAGCGTTTTTTCCAACCAACATTAAGCCTGCTCTTGAATTTCAATTGCCGTGACTCTGACCTCAGTAGCGGCACTCATCCTCGTGATATAGTGGCTTCGGTGGTATGCAAAACTTTCCTCTGGCTTTGACATTGGCGGAATCCTCCGAATCTCTGCCGTATAGGGAGCTCCGGTTTCCCACGCCTGTTTTCATCTGATCCGGCTCGCAGTCTTTGGTTGTCAGAAAGCAAAATTGTAGTTGAGGTTCGATGTGACATCAAAGGGGCTCTGCGTCTGAACATGGATTGTATCTAACATGTCTATATCTGAAAGACAATCCTTGTTTTGGGTCACAAACTCCGCTGCTTTGGCAGGATAGCTTTCGTCATATGTAGTCAGGAAATTCGTTTTGAGCAAAGAGAAAAAAGCAAATTCTCTATTGCGGGCAGGACTAATTCTCTTCTTGAATGGGAGCGTCCCTTGTCAGGTCTACGACCTTGTAGATGGGACGACTACCAAGCTTGTACGCTTCCCTCGCTGTTTCCGCCCAAAGCCTTGTCTGAGCCTCGGGTCCCAAGCCGGCCATATGGCACGTCATCTCCACCACTCTGCGCCACTTCTTCCAGGCTTCATCGCCAACACCAAGAGTGCATACCGGCCAGTCGCTTCCAAACATGATGCGTTCGGGCCCAAATGCAGCTATCACCACGGCAAGCCAGGGAAGGATAGCAGAGAGAATTTCCTCGGCCGGGCGGGCCCTGAAGGACTCGGGCATCTCGCTAAAGCAACCGCTTAGTTTCATGTAGGTACGGTCGCACTTGCTAAGAGTGAACATGGCGGTGCGCCAAGCGATGTATGAGGGATCCGTTTGTACGTTGACGATGGTTAGATCTGGCTTGCAAAGGTGGTCTGAGATGATGGCCATCGGTTAGCAATCAGCTCATGCAAGATGTCCTGGAATGAAAACTTACTGAGGATAAAGACCACCTTGTCCTCCTCATCCACGCCGTCGTGTGCACGGTCGATCATCTCTACCGCCTCCTCCAGCTGAATCCTCCCTCTTTTGTGCTGGTCCACACCCAGGTCGAACACAAACTTCTTCCTGCCAAGAAGCTTCAGGCCCTCGATAAAATCGTCATTTAGAGCTGTTCCGTTGGGCTTATCCTCCAGCAGGTAGCGGAAACCCTTCACCTTGGCCCATGTTTCAGGCCCAGCTTCCTTTTCCGCAGCAGCAAGATACTTTTCCAACTCTGCAGCACCCAACACAACCGGCGCCCATGGCACGATCCCGAGGCAATCACGGCCATCCTCAGCGGTGTGACCCTCGCCTTCTTTCGGCTGGCCGGTTACGATGCGGCGAAGCCATGCGATTTCTTGTAATGGGAAGGTCCAATCTTTGGCATTGTCGTTTTTGCGGTCGACCTCGATGAAGACGAAGCCCTGAAGATTGCCAGGCGCACCGGTGGCGGTCTGGTATTCCTGGATAGAGTGCTGTTTGGCGAGAGGGTTGTCTTCGGTGTACCATTGGTGGGTTTCTACCTCGGATTGGGGATAGAGGTGAATGTGGGAGTCGATGATGGACACGGAGACGGCGGGAGAGGAAGCCATCTTGATCAGGTCGTCGTCGGGCTTGGTGTTGGTATAGTGGCAGAATAGTTTGGCAAGGAAGTATGCTTCAGCAACAGCCCAGTTAGAGAAAGAGAGGAAGACAAGCGAACAACGTCGGAGATGGCAGTAGGGGGGAAGGACTAAAGGTCAGATGGAAGATGAAGGTCGAAGCGGTGTACCGTTATGCGGGCAAGCCAAAGTTGAACACAGTAATATGAATGGGACTCAGCTGAGACAACGGGGGAGCTCCCAATCGAGCCTTCTCCCTTATACTTTCCATCTGGTATTAGCATTGGCAGGCACGCGGTACAGTACGAGGAGAGCACCTCGATGGTCAAGTGGGGTGGGAGATGGGATCGACACCAAGCCAGGAACCACGACGAGGTGGGGTATGGCATGGTATTAGCCAGCAATAAGACGGGATAATTCACACCGAAAGATTCAAGATACGGTTCCTAAACAAGAGTGGTTACCCCCATCTCCAGCTTCTACTTCTTTGACCTCGAGTCCTTCTCCCTTTCGTCTCCCTACAGCACCGTAAGGAAGGTGCCCACTTCAGGTACAGTCGTCACATGGTGGTGTTAATAGGCAGCGAGAATGTTTCGAGTTGCAGACCTGACAGAGAAATAATGACATGTTAGTTCTAAAACTGATGAATGATGAAGTTGACGAAGGAAGTCGGCTCCAAGCTGCCCCTTGGACTTGCTGAAGTTGGAGCTCTAAGGTGGGGTTTAATGTGGAGATATGGGGTTGGTCAACTTGCCATGCCTGTCAAAATCTCTTGGCACCAACACTTCAGCACGCAGTTCCAGTTCATTCCTGCCCTGTGAAAGCGTGAACTTTTGGCCAGCGCCTGCACTCCATGACACTTTAGGTTCTTTGAAGCTTTGAGTTTGTCTGTACAGGATAGGGTACGCGGCAGGCAGAGGCGTACCCAGCAGTACACTACACTCTGTAAGGTATTGTAAGTAGTACGATACAGGTACCAAACACCCACCTAAAACGCTGTACAGTAAGGACCCCTGCAGATGCTAATTCCCCTTAATGCTAAAACCCCTTCTTTTGCTAAAGATTTGGGCTGCTCGCATTCCCTATGGTGGTAAAGACTGCTAACTGCTAATTGCAACCGCTCAAGGCCTGATTTGCAGAAGCAGGGGTCCGATTTTGGTGGGAGAGTATACTTACCCTCGTACCGGGGGGACAGCTGCCTTGGGAGGCCCACCTTTTTGGTCAATTGCCGGTCATCCAGTGGCCAGAAGGCCAAGGTGTGGTTTTGTGTACTAGCACCTTCTTTTGCAAAACCCCCCCTTTCGCAAAGATTTGGGCTGCCGGAATTATTTGCAAAAGCAGGGGTTCTTACTGTACTGGGGCGCTCCGCACGGACCGTGGATGCCTAGCAATTAAACTCTTGCCCCTCGACGCGGTGCTAAACGCGTCGCTACAACAATCCATTCCATGTTGCTGTGAATTTCCCCTCCAGACCACCATCATCACTCCATCACTCAACATCCATCCACATCTTGTTGGATCCTTCTTTACTTCTGCCCCCATTCATTGCGTCTTCGAATACGAGCCCCCACAGAAAGAAACTTCAGAAACAATTAGATCGTCCGCGGGCTTTCGCCAACACTACACAAGATGGCGGGCCAAATCACACAGGGCGCTCTAGAGTAGGTTTCTTCACGTATGCCTCCATCCTATATGGCAGACTCTGACTTGTTGCTACAGCGCCATGTTCAATGACCCCGATCGCGCCCAACAACAATTCCCCGTCCCGATCCTTCAATGTCTCCAGATCAAGACCCTCGACTCCAAGAACGGAGGCGCGGGCGCCACTGAGAGGTTCCGCATTGTACTGAGCGATCTCAAGAACTATGTCCAGTGTATGATGGCCACGCAAACAAACCATCTCGTCCACGATGGTCTATTGCAACGCGGCTGTATCGTGCGCTTGAAGCAGTATCAGGCTCAATGCCTCAAGGGCAAAAAGTACGCTGGTCTCTCCCTCTGCCAATCCAGGTTCCGCTATGATGCTGACAGTTCAACCCAGCATCCTGATTGTCCTCGATCTCGAAGTAATCCAGTCCCTCGGCTGTCCCGAAAAGATGGGCGACCCGCAGCCTCTTGGCCCCCGGGGTGCAGAACCAACGCATAACCCCAATCTCGGCAGCACCGGCTTCTACGGCGTCAAGAACGAGCAGACCCAAGACACGAAACCGCAGTTTCCGCGCCAGGCGCCTTCGCGCAACACCAGCGGCGGTCAAGGATCAAACACGATATACCCTATCGAAGGTCTCTCGCCCTTCTCGCACAAATGGACCATCAAGGCTAGAGTCACCTCCAAGTCCGATATCAAGACCTGGCACAAGCCTAGCGGCGAGGGCAAACTCTTCAGCGTCAACTTCCTCGACGAGAGCGGCGAAATTAGGGCAACTGGCTTCAACGAGCAAGTCGACCAGTTCTACGATCTGCTACAGGAGGGTCAGGTTTATTACATATCCACTCCTTGCAGGGTGCAACTTGCCAAGAAGCAGTTTTCGAACCTGCCCAACGACTACGAGCTTACCTTTGAGCGAGATACTCAGATCGAGAAGGCCGAAGACCAGACCTCAGTGCCACAGGTACGCTTCAACTTTGTCAACATTCAGGAGCTCCAGGATGTCGAGAAGGATGCAACCATCGATGTGATTGGCGTGCTTAAGGAGGTCCAAGAGGTGACCCAGATTGTGTCCAAGACCACGCAGAAGCCTTACGACAAGCGCGAGCTGACCCTCGTTGACAACACTGGGTACTCTGTACGCTGCACCATCTGGGGAAAGACGGCTACAAACTTTGATGCCCAGCCCGAATCCATTGTGGCCATGAAGGGCACAAAGGTCAGCGATTTTGGTGGGCGCAGCTTGTCGCTGCTCTCGTCCGGCACCATGGCCATCGACCCGGATATCCCAGAGGCCCACCACCTCAAGGGCTGGTATGATAGCAGCGGCAGAAACAACACCTTCGCCACGCATAACAACATGGCCACCTTGGGTGGTGCGACAGGCCGCAAAGATGACACCAAGACCATCTCACAAGTGAAGGAAGAGAACCTCGGCACAGGCGAGATGCCGGATTATTTCTCTCTCAAGGCAACGGTTGTGTACATCAAGCAGGACAACTTTGCGTATCCTGGCTGCCGCAGCGAAGGCTGTAACAGAAAGGTCACGGATATGGGCGATGGTACTTGGCGCTGCGAGAAATGCCAAGTTAACCATGATAGACCTCAGTACCGTTACATTATGAGTGTCAACGTCAACGATCACACAGGCCAACTTTGGCTTAGCTGCTTCGATGATACGGCGCGGATTATCATGGGCAAGTCGGCCGATGAGCTTATAGAGATGCGCGAGAACGACGAGACGCGGTTGGCCGCAGAGTTTGAGCAGGCCAACTGCCGCAAGTTGAACTTTAGATGCAGGGCGAAGATGGACACATTTGGCGAACAGCAGAGGTATGTATTGGAAGTTTTGTTACAATTAATGGACATTACTAACATAAGGGTGGCTGTAGGGTTCGATACCAGGTCATGAGCGCGGCGCCGCTTGATTACAAGATGGAAGGAAACAAGCTTAACGAGCTCATCAACGCTTATAGCCAAATGGGTATGTAGAGGGGAGGATGAAGTCTGTTCCCATGGTCAGGAACAAGATGAAGCATATGGTTAATGAATAAGTGTTTGTATGTTTGGGCATGTAGCTTCAACGGGTGAATGATATTGACATTATTGGCCTTTGACGGAAGATGAGCTTCACCTACATGATAGATATGGATGGTTAACGCTGTGATATGCCGATACCTAACAGAATTTTGCTAGCGTGGCAGCAAGGTCGGCATGCTCGCGGATTTGAATTGATATGATCTCAAGAGTAATGTTGGAGGTGTGACACTGGGAGACCTTGTGCAAGCTGCAAATCTTCCGCCATTTCCACGGATAACATGTTGTGATGATCAGGCACACGCTCTTGAATGGAAGAATGCCTCAATAGCTGTCCAAGATCGGGCCAAGGCCTTCCCTTGTAATTCGTACCTTTCTGCTCAATATCGCAATCCCATTTGCTCCTCCGTTATCGGCCTCCTTCATCCTCTCGTATTCTCGAATCCTTCCATGGTTCAGCTTTTCACACATGGGACCCATAACGTAGGCTTTCCTGGTCGACTTTCGTCATTTTCCGTTGTTGAACGACAAGCACCCCGGGCCAGCTCCGGTCTCGGCGCGGACTGTTTGGCGGCTCAGGCGGTACCATATCGGCACTTATCGATTAAACGGATGATGCCGTATTCTTCCTTATCGGCGGCCACCGGGATCCCCTGCCGTGACCCCGCACCTCCGCCGCGTCCAGGCCCGCGCCCCCGCTCCGTTCGGGGGTCCCCCGCTTTCGATGGAACATGAGGGTTCGGACTAGATAATGTTCTAGAACGGAATAAGCACTATCAAGTTGGGACTTTGACCATATCGTGTCATCACAAGGGCGCGGGCAACACCATCAAGTCAAATACAATTGAATAAAACCTTCGTCCTTTCTATCCTCCCTCCCTCCTGCCAAATCTCCAACCGCCGCCTCAACTTACACCAACCAACCCGCAGCCCAAAACCCCCTCCCAAGAAACCCAAAGAAAAAAGATCTCCCCAAAAATGGCCGACCCAGCCACCACCCCTCCCCTAACCCGCGCCTCCGTCCTCGCCGCTCACTCCCTCATAAAGCCTTACATCCACGAGACGCCCGTTCTGACGAACACAACTCTCGACCAACTCGCTTCCACCCCTCGCACGCCCGAGGAGCTGAAAGGAACGGAGTGGGAGGGGGTTGAAAAGCCAGCGAACCCAAAGATCCGGTTCTGGTTCAAGTGCGAGAATTTCCAGCGGATTGGAGCGTTCAAGGCCAGGGGAGCGTTTCATGCTGTTGAGAGATTGAAAAAGGAGGAGGGGTTGGAGGGGTTGAGGAGGACGGGGGTGGTAACGCATAGTTCTGGTTTGTGAAATTTTTTTCATTCTATCTTGGTTGTGCTTAATGAGGTTGTGAGGTTGAGATGGATGTGTGAGGTTGTAAATTGTGGTTGCTGGATGGTGTGAGGTGAGGAGCTGGGAAAGTGAAGTTGGTCGGCTGGTTGGAGCGGGTGATATGTACAAGACATCGTGACCTGAAGATTTCACGACGATACCTCAGTCCAGACCAAAGTAGGTACTAACCTATGATATCCCAAAGGCAACCACGCCCAAGCCCTCTCCCTTGCGGCCCGCGAGAACGGCATCCCGGCATACATCGTCATGCCTAACATCTCTCCGCCGCCCAAGATCGCTGCCACCAGAGGTTATGGTGCCAACATAACCTTTAGCGGGAGCACGAGTACCGAGCGCGAGGCGGTTACCAAGGAGGTTATCGAGAAGACGGGCGCGAGATTTGTGCCTCCTTATGATCGTATGTCCTGCTTTATGGTTTTCCTTATCGTTTTTGCCCAATTTTCCAGTTTGCTACAGTCTCCTCAGAGTCTCTTCAGAGCCTTCTTGGAGTCTGTTCAAGCTTTCTTTGAAGTTTCTTCACCCTCCTCTGCACCCTTTTCTTCGCCCTTCTCTTACTAACCTCTCCGCTCCCACCACAGACCCAGACATCATCCTAGGCCAAGGTACCGCCGCTCTCGAACTCCAATCCCAAGTCGCCGCTTCCCTATCCACCTCCGGCAACGCCACCAACCGCCGCCTAAACGCCGTCATAACTCCCTGCGGCGGCGGCGGTCTCCTCTCCGGCACGGCTCTCGCCTGTTCCGACCCCTCCGCCCAGGGTGGTCCAATCCTCGTCTTCGGCGCCGAACCCTCCTTCTCCGGTGCCGACGACGGGCGCAGGGGGTACTACTCGGGCACTCGCGTCGAGAGTGTGAAATCGTTGACGATTGCCGATGGTTTGCGGACTCCAGTGGGGACGCACCCGTGGAGTATCATCTATGAGCGCAAGTTGGTGGCGGGAATGTACAGCGTGGGCGAGGAGGAGATTAAGAAGGCGCTGAGGCTGGTGTATCAGCGGATGAAGGTTGTTGTTGAGCCGAGCGCTGTGGTGGGCTTGGCGGTCGCTTTGTATAATGAGGAGTTTAGGAGTATGGTGGAACGGGAGGCGGGAGAGGAAGGGTGGGATTTAGGCGTGATGTTTAGCGGGGGAAATGTTGAGCTGGCGGCTTTGGGGACGTTGTTTGGTGAGGTTGTTTGGTGAGGTTGTTTGGTGAGGTTGTTTGGTGAGGTTGTTTGGTGAGGTTGTTTGGTGAGGTTGTTGGTGAGGAAGTGAGTACAGCGGTGAGGGCGGGAGAGGAGATAATCGTATTATCGTAGAGAAACTAGGAGTTGAAAAGTTAGCATTGGCTTTCGTCCGATATATAAGATCCAGATCACCAAAGCATAGATAGAATAGGTCAAGCCAAGGTTGAACAGAAAAAAAAAGGAAAAGTTCATTGAACCGACATGCCACCGGGCAGAGGCCCCCCATAAAGATAATTATATACAATCCGAACAATCCGAACCCAGAACAAACCAAATAGAAGAGACGTCGGAGAAAAGGCTTTTTAAATATCCCCCAAATTTCCCAGAGGTATCCCGTCCCGTTCCAGCGGCCGCCAGTCATATTGATGCGGCCTGTGCAGCGTATGTGTGTGTCTGTCATTTTCAAACCTGCCCAACAACCGGAGTATCATTTGTGTATCCCTCGTGCAAGCAAAAATCACCACCCAACCAAAAAGCATTCAACGCTAGTTGTTTACTTCTGGTTCTCGGGACGGAGGGAGCTGAAAGATGAATGTTAGTCAGGGTACTTCGTGTAACACAGGGGAACGAGTGTCACATACCGAACGGCCTTGCCGGCGCGCCAGATCTCGAGGTTGCGGATCTCCTCGAGCTCGGCCTCGTACTTCTCACGGTAGTCAGGCTGAGAGTTGTACTCGAGAGAGCGCTTGGTCTCGGAGCCGTCCTTGACAGAGTCGTAGAGGTTGTTGAAGACGGGCTTGAGGGCGTCCTTGAACTTGGGGGTCCAGTCGATGGCACCACGGCGGGCGGTGGTGGAGCAGGCGTCGAACATCCAGTCCATGCCGTGGGCACCAATGAGGGGATAGAGGGACTGGGTAGCCTCCTCAACGGTCTCGTTGAAAGCCTCGCTGGGGGAGTGGCCGCGCTCACGGAGAACCTCGTACTGGGCGAGGAACATGCCGTGGATACCGCCCATAAGGCAGCCGCGCTCACCGTAGAGGTCAGAGTAGACCTCCTTCTCGAAGGTGGTCTCGTAGAGGTAACCGGAGCCGACGGCGACACCGAGGGCGACGGCCTTCTCCTTGGCCTTGCCAGTGACGTCCTGGTAGACGGCGAAAGAGGAGTTGATACCACGGCCCTCACGGAAGAGGGAGCGGACGGTGCGGCCGGAGCCCTTGGGGGCGACGAGGATGACGTCAACGTCGGTGGGGACCTCGACCTTGGTGAGATCCTTGAAGACGGGGGAGAAACCGTGGGAGAAGTAGAGGGTCTGTTGTTGATGGTGGTTAGCTCGCGCCAAGAGATTCAATGGCACCTTGGGTGAAACTCACCTTGCCCTTGGTGATCTGGGGCTTGATGTGGGGCCAGGTCTCGGACTGGGCGGCATCGGAAAGGAGGTTCATGATGATGGTACCGCGGGAGATAGCCTCGTCAACGTCGAAGAGGTTCTTGCCGGGAACCCAGCCATCCTGAACGGCGTCCTGCCAGGACTTGCCGTTCTTGCGGACACCAATGATAACGTTGAGGCCGTTGTCACGGAGGTTGAGGCCCTGGCCATGACCCTGGGAGCCGTAGCCGATGAGAGCGAGGGTATCGTTCTTGAAGTAGTCCTACAGAAAAATAAGGGTCAGTAATAAGATTTCACGTGTGTTCGGCGACTCAATTGCGCTTGTGAGGAGCTTGAACAAGCTTGACCCGCTCGCTGCCCCGCCGTGCCCCGCCGTGCCCCGCCCGAACCTTGGGATGATCCATGGTTGGGTAAAGCTCATAGCTAAGCTAAAGGGGGGCTGGGCTTGGGAGCGAGAGGAGCTACGGGCATATTCCGTTGCTGCAAGAAGCTCGGTTGAAAGTGGAATTGTGTAATTGAGATGGCATGACTCACGAGGAGCTTCTCAGCGGGCCAGTCAGCGCGCTCTGTAGATAGGAACAGATCGTCAGTAAACAGTTCTGTTGAGATATTCGGCCCAATGGCTGTCAATTGAGTGGATCTGGATCTGGGGACTCACCATAAACGTCCTCCTTGTGGCCGGCGAAGTCCATGGTCTTGACACCGCGGACCTGCTGGCGGGCAGGGCCAGCAACGGCCTTGACGGCAACGGAGGCGCGGGCAGCGTTGGCAGCAGCCACGAAGGTGCGGCGCTGGACGGCGGGGGTGGCCAGGCGGGCCAGGGGGCGGAGGGCCTTGGTGCAGTTGCGGGCAGCCATTGTGACGGATTGGTTGGGAGGGATGATGGGATGGATGGGGAGGAAAGGAAAGAAGGACGGGGGAGAGAAGAGAGAGAAGCGAGGAAGGGAAGAGACGGTTGGCTTATGAGGAGATCCGGAGCTCAGGAGCGGCTGCTGTTTACGGAGCAGGTACGGAGGACCACGACCTTTGGATCCCAACCGTCTGACTGTCTGTGACTGTCTGACGCTGCCGAGTAGTCACCGATATGCGGGTCCAAATTTTTAAATTTCCCTCCCGTTTGCCAGACTCAAGCAGCGCGCACCGCAAAACAGACGTTCTGGTTGGTCCGCGACCCGTCCGTGGTTGGAGTTGGCTGCCATGCTGTCACCGAAGTCGGTCGCTGGCGAGAGCTGCGGGTGGGGCCCCCTGTCCACACCTTGGTCCACATCTTGGCGAGCTTTGGCTGGGGCCTTTGCTGGACTCCAAGCAAAACGAAGCTCCGTTCTCCAAAAGCGTGAAACCCGCTTTCGCTGCCCCTCTGCTGTTTCGCTGTGAGCCTGTGACTGGTCCCCCAGCGATGAGCCAACAGCCCAGTGTGCGCCAAGAGATTGCCAAGGCGAGACCATTCCGACTCCATACCGGCCCAAAGCAGACGACAAGTCACGACAACGCCCGCCACGGAGCAACGCACGAGCCACTGGACCCTTTTCCAAGCCAATTTTAAGGTCGTTGACGCCAAAATGGTGACTCCCAAACTCCGGTTGCTGGCGTCGTCGGCATGGTTTGTCTGGACTACCGGCCCTGGTGCTTGCCAGATCCGCCCCTGTTCGTCCACGGCCGTTGTCGCCCTACCCCCCGGTATGTACGGAGGCACCGCGATGGAAGTTGACAACAGCCTCGAACTGAAGGGATCCATTCTCAGCCGATTCCGTTTTGCCCATTCAGCCATGTCTGCCATTCCCACCCGAACCTAGAGGTAAACTGCGGCATTGCACACAAAGATCCATACCGCACTGAATTCCGCACTTCTTCCGTAGAAAAGGTTCCGTATCCACCCTTGTTATTTTGTCCCGTTGTGGGCGTGTGTTTACATGTACCTACTTGCCTCCGATGATGCCAATGATGCCACCTCGTCAATGTAGTGTAAAAAGCAGTCTGCGAGGACACAACCCGTTTGCAAAAGAGTTGTTGCCACGACGGGGTCCTACTCTCCTCAATGTCACCCACAGTCGTCACAGGCTTGCCGTCCAGGACTCCAAGCTGTGGCTCCAGAGGCTCCAGAGGCTCTCTCACAGCTCCGACCAGCGCCCCGAAAAGGAGACGAAGTCACCTTGAAAACTGGGGTTGAGCGGAGTGTGGACACTGGACCACGTCCACGATTTATTGAATTGTATGGGTATACCCCGGTCCCGTCAGAATGTCACCTCACTGGCTGGTTGACACAGCTCCCTCCGAACCGGGCAACGTCAGTTTGACTTTGGGGGAGCGGCTTCGGTCCGCCGCCCCTGCATGGGGATGCCTTCATGTTCTGGGGCGATGATGTGCTTGCGCTTGCTAACACTCCCACTCCCACTCCCACTCCCACTCCCACTCCCACTCCCACTCCCACTTCCACTTCCAATTCCAATTCCAATTCCAATTCCACTTCCACTTCCGAATCCGATCAATAGTTTGGCTTTGATTTGTGACTCCTGTTCTCCAGCATTGAAATGGTGATCCTGGATGTTATGAATGGTGAGTCACAATAGAGGTGAGGGTTAGTATGGAGTCTGGATTTCAGGGGTATTCGGGTGACATGTGAATTGGACCGATATTCGGAGCATTTTGAAGATCGTGGCGTTGGGTTTTGTGTTGAGTGGTTGGGGTAAACAATGTTCAAGAAGGTAGCCCTTTGATTTTGACTGACATACTGGCAACAACATCGTTGGTTTTCTGGTCAATGTGTCTTGACAATTTCTTTTTCAATATCGACTCTGGGCGTCAGCTTGTGTGCGAGGAACTTACAACACTTTGTCAGACTCCCATCGACTGCAAAGAAATCATCCACGAGCAAACTAACAGCATGGGAGAATGAGTCTATGATAAAGATGGGTATGACTGGTTAAGTACGCCGCTAGATGAACCTCATGGAAAACAGAAACTCAGGCGAAACAACCGAAAAGTACAGGTGGGAATTCAGAACACCACTTCTCTAGTCATTGAAAATCGTCTCGTGTCCATTCGTCATAGAAAGAAAAAAAACGCCGCTTTAATGAATCCGCTTCTAGCATTCCCCAGTCTTCTTCCCCTCCCCCTTCCCCTCCCTTCGCTTCCAACCAATATAGGTACGTCCCAGTCTCAGTCCCTCGTCTTCCCGCTCTACACTACATACCCGCCCGCAGAAAAGCCTAGAACTTAGCTTAGGGAGCTTCCATGTTTGGGTAAGGTAGATCCGGGGAGTTCGGCGTGTCAGGTACCCTACACTACATGCGTAGCTCCCGCCCTGCGACCCCGTCCGTCTGGTTTCACCCCTTCCCCGCCTGCCCAACACCATACCATCAGCCTTAAACAGATAAGGGAACTGCTGGTGACCAACTGCCTGACAGCGGAAAGCGAGCGAGCGAGCCAGCGAGCCCGTCCATCCACTGACAGAGCAGCACAGCAGTTCCACTCCCACACTCCAATGCTCCATTCTGCACGCCAAGCATGGCGTGTGTTTATCCCGATTCCCGGGCCATCCTGTACAATCCTTATGGAATCTGGGGCTATCCCACAATGGGCAGTTCGCTTAGATCTAGATAAGACAGGCAGGCGCTGAGGCTGAAAAGCTGAAAAGGCGAGCTGAGAACTTTTTGAGGCTGAGGCTGAGAAAAGAGGTGAAAGGTGAACGCACGGGCCTAGTACTTCTGATGTTTGTGTTTCTTATGATGATGAGTCTTTCCGCTTGATTGGGTTCCCGATACCTACTGGGAAACAACCCGCTCATACGTCTGATCCTTGACATTGCCGCCCGACATGGCTGTCCTGACGTTGCGCTTGAACCCTTCCCTGTTGGACCGCAGATCCTCGGCCGCCTCCTTGTTCAGGGGATCGCTCGCGTTGGGCTCGAGGAAGAGGAACTGCAGGCCGACGATGACGGCGTTCAGGTTGAGCACGGGTTTCCAGTCCTCGCGCAGGATGTTGAGGCACACCTTGCCCTCGAGGTCGATGTTGGGGTGGTAGATCTTTTCGCGGCACTGCACCTTGGGCGGCTCGTGCGGGAAGTTGGGCGTGATGTTGAAGGTGAAGCTGAACTTGCCGCCCTTGTACATGCCCTCGTCCGGCTCGATGTAGAGTATGAAGTTGAGGATGTCGTCGGGGTCCGGAAACTCGGTCTTCATTGTGCTGCCTAGTGAAAGTTCGCTGAGATCTGTTGTTTTGACGTTACCGCCCCGTGAGGAGGGCAACATGGCGTTAGCTGGATGATTCTCTCTCTATAGCTGTCGGAGCGGATCGCTCTGACGTACCTTTCTGCACCCGCAACTGCGCCGCCGTAACCTTCTTCTTCTTGCCACCACTTTCAGCTCCAGCCGCATTCTCGGCCTTCTGCTGCTCCTTCTTCTACATAGTTTATCAAGATCGTGTCAGCAATCATAGTGTCGCACATCCTGTCTCGGGGTGTCTGAAGCATGAGCACATCGAATCATGCGCGCCCAGCTTGATGGGAGGGGGATCGAAGTATTTGTGGTGTTCCGTACCATGGACCAAATCTTCAACATCTCGACTGTGCTGTGTCCCTGCCGCGGATCCGCGAGTGTGTTTGCTTGTCGGATATGTATATGCGATGCGGGTGCCAGCAGACTTCAAAGTCGTGTAGGCGCCGAGGGACAAGGTCGTCGAAGGGAGGGATCGGTTTGGGCTCGAGCGGGAAAGGTAGAGGTGGCTGTTAAAAAGAGGACGGAGATGGAGATAATGTACGCGGTAGGTAAGGTTGGTAGGTCGGTGTCAGATTACAGGAGGACGCGAAGGTTGCAGGAGGAGAGGTGAAGGAGTCTGCGTTGCGTTGCGTTGCGTTGCGTTGCGTGCGTGTGGGCGGTGTATGTCAAGTCAGGTATTTCCGATCGATCAAAAGATGACGGACCGGTCGTGCGTAAGGTGTGTGTCAGGGGAAAGATCGAACGAGACAAGACGGGAATGTGTCAAACTAGACCAAAAAGCTTAAACGTGCAGCTGGACTACGCTACCAACGACAAGAGAGGTTACTGGAGTGCAGACGGAAGCTTCAAAATGTGTCAAGCCGTCGATTCTTGTTGGCGCTAGATTTGACAGGAACTGCAGTGGCAGGTGCGATGCTAAATCCAAGGTTCGCGATACGTGATATGATAAAACCCAACTGATGGCGTTTAAGGACCTGACAGGCACCTTGATGAGGGGCACTCGATAACAAAAAGGCAAAGCGCCCGGCCGGCAGGCGCTTCCAGATTGGTCCGCTGTTGCTGATACCGTAAGGTTCCGTCACGTCAGCAACGTTGAGGTCTCTGCAACACCTCTAGAACATTTTTAAACCAGCCGTCAAGATGGGTAGATTTCTACGATAAAAACAAATCAGAGGAGTAAACAGCAACTGGGAAATAGTCAATCCTCGGGCGCAAAATCGGCGGTATTCGGTGATCTCATCGTTACAGTGGGTTCCGTAGCGGCAACCCCCCGGTAAATTTGGAAGCTGGGTAATACCTATGGTACCGTACAATACATCCCGAAAATTACACGCTCTATCGCCGCTCTGGCACGGTCGGCACCTCCGTCCAAGTCCCGTATCTTCCGTCCATCACTCCGGCCGCATCATCCGTGATTTGCTTCACTGGACACTGTATGCCATAGCAAGATACGTACGTCACATAAACTGCGCGATTATCTCAAGATGTGTGATACTAAATTTCATAATTTGTCCGAACTCAAACAAACGAAACAAGCAGAAAACGCCCTGGCCGATGCCCAATACATTTGGACATAGTACGCATGGCCTAACCCAGCTCTACAAAGACATTGAAGGTCAACATCAAGCGACGCATGCTGGCTC